TTTTCAGTGCTCGCTGACCGTTTTTATATGTGGCTTTTTATTCTACAACAGTGAATTGAATACTGTGCAGAACTTGTCTACTTGCTCTAAAATTTACTTGAAAGTTTACATTTACTTGCTATGATGAGATCCAAAAGGGGCTTTTAATAAAATCATTTATTAATTTAATTGGGCGCACTTATAGAACGACAACATCGGCTGCACGGTTAGCTGCACATCCGCTGGAGGAAATGAAGGCGCGGGACGCTCAGCAGCGGAAAAACACCCGTACCTCAGTTGCTGCGCCTGCGGGGAATCCTCTTGTCCAGACAACAAGCATGGCATTTGAATTCTGACAGTCAAATACAGAACATGGAAAATCCAGATTTCGCATTCACCTATAGCATATCCATATATTAACCATATTTTCAGTTTATTTGGTAAGGATAATAGGCAAAACCTTTGAAAACCCTATTGATTACATGTCAGCTCGTTAGAAATAACTGTACACGAACAAAAAATGTTCATTATTAAAACAGTACTTGGTTCATTTGAGTAGCATTGTCTCAGAGAAAATATTTGTCTGGACCAGGGGTATTAATTCAGATTCAGACTGTCGAGGGAAAACAGGGGACACAAATAATCATCCAAGCGTTTCTAAAAGAGTTGTAGGGACGTAGCCTCCACGACTGACTGAGGGAAATCGTTCCATTTCTCCACTACCCTCTGCGTGAAAAATTCAGAACGAAGATTCAGTCCGGACATTGTTGTCCGTAACTTAATCGAGTGACCACGAAGATTGCGTGAAAGGTGCCACTGAAACATGTCCTCAAATTTAAGTCCATACTCAAGGCCATGTATTATCTTGTAGACGAGGATAAGATCACCTCTTTGCTGCCTGTAACACAGAGGGAATAAATTAAGGCAATTCAGTCTTTTTCTGTAGGGTTGGCTTTTTAGACCGTTTACCAGCTTTGTAGCACGCCGTTGTACTCGTTCGAGGCATGTTTGGTCCTTTACTAGCCACGGCCGCCACGCTTGTATGCCATATTCTAAGTGGGGCCGAACAAATGTGCCGTAAACTCTCCCAAAAAGGCCTTGGTCAAAGTTAACGAAAGCCCTTTTTATTGCATGCAGCACTCCCATGGCGTTTTTTGCAGCCTTGTGGCACTGCAGTGTTGGTTTAAGGTTGTTCTGTATCCAAACTCCGAGATCCTTCTGTGAAGATTCTGCGGGGAGCCTTATATCTTTCAGGTGCTATGTCCTCAGGCTCTCATTTGAATGAGAGTTGGTTGGACGCAGATGAAGGATGCCACACTTCTCCACATTGAAATCTAGAAGCCATTTCTTCGACCACGCTTGCAGTCGGTGCAGATTATCTTGAAGGGATCTCTGATCATTCGGACCCTTAATGACTTGCCAGAGCTTAACGTCGTCTGTAGGCATTATTTTACCGCAGTCGAGTTCCTGAAGGCTGTCGTTAACGTAAAGGATGAAGAGCAATGGTCCCAGAACTGAGCCTTGCGGCACACCACTGGTCACATTCATCCACTCTGACATATCATTCCCGACAAAGACACGTTGTTTCCGACCAACCAGAAACGCCCTAATCCAGTTCAGAAGATCTCCCCGGATGCCGATGGCGCTCAATTTGTGAAGAAGACGTAGGTGTGGGACAGTGTCAAAAGCTTTGCGGAAATCGATGTATACGACATCGACCTCAAAACCCTCTTCTAGAGCCCTGGTCCAGATCTCCAGACAAGCTAGCAGATTTGAGAGGCAGGAACGTTCTCTCCTGAAGCCATGTTGAAAATCCTGCAAGAGGTTATTTTCTTCACAAAATTTCTGTATAGCGCTTTTTACTATAGCTTCCATCGTTTTGCAAGGGAGGCAAGTTAAGCTAATGGGCCTGAAGCTGCTTGCTGTCATCCTGCTACCTCCCTTATGCAATGGAACGAGGTTAGCTGTCTTCCACTGTGAGGGCAGCCTTTCTGTTCTCAGTGACAGCTCAAACAGAGTTGAAAGAGACTTTGACAGCTTCGTTGACAGCTCCTTAAGTATCAGCCCGGGAATTCCGTCGGGTCCAGGAGACTTATCAGGTTTTATTTGACTGAGGACGCGTCTGACTTCTTCGACGGAAAACGCGACGGTTTTAATGACGGCAATATCTTGGCGCATTTGAAGCTCCCGGCTGTCCCGGTCCATTTCGAACTGTTGATTGTCTTCTAGGGAATCCTCCGTAGAAACCGATTGAAAAAACTGAGACAGTAATCGCACTTTCTGTGGCCGTTCAACTACTAAGTTTTCGAGGCTATCCTTAAGACACGCAATTTCGTCCCTATGTTTCCTCCTACTGCGGATGTACCCGTAAAACTTCTTGGGATATGTAATGAATTCTGCTATCAGTCGACGCTCGAAAGAAGTTCTAGCAACCCGTATTTCTTTAAGGCATTTATTTCGCTGATCCTTATATTCGGCGAGCGACCTTGGATCTCGAAGTCGCAAATACTTTTTCCAGAGTCTCTGTTTCTTCTTCATGGTCTTTTTGTCGTCGGATTGACCCACGGCGGTCGCATACATGGTCTTGTCATTTTTATTGGACAATGGGAATCAATCAGACGCTCTATAAACCCGCGAAAGTACTGCCAAAATTCGTCTGAATCTTCTGTGTTGACCAACCAGGTTTCCTCCAAAAGAGTGCGTCTCACTGCGTTAAAGTCACCCTTCCAAATATTTCTGCGCGTCATGATTTTTGGTTGTTGGTTGGATAGGAGAGAGCACACGCAGGTAAAAGCAATATGATCGCTTAAACCGAGTGGAGGTTGTGGATTCACTTCCTTTATGAGTCCTTCTTCTTTACTGAAAACGAGATCTAAACAATTAGATCGTTGTCCTTCTCTTATTCTTGTTCCGAATTGTATGTGCTGGATGAGGTATTCATTCAGGGAGAGTTGTAGTAGCTTGTGGTCAAATGACGTGGACGGGGCGTTTGTTAGGGGAATGTTCCAATCTATTCCTGGAGCGTTGAAGTCAACCAGAAGTAGTAAGTTCTCCTGCTTACATAACAACTCCAGTGCACTAAGTAATTCCGTATCGGCGAATTAATTCGAACTGGGAGGCCGACAGACAACACACAGGTTCAGTGTCGGTAATTGTTTGATACATATCTTGCATGAAATTATTGCAAAATTTCGGGGCGCACCATCGGAAATTTCTCGTTGACAGCACGCAATTTCATTTGACACATAAATAGCTGTGCCTCCTCCTCTACGGTGAAACCTGTCCCAACGGAACTGTTGGTAGCCTTCAATTCTGACTTCGCTGCTACTAATTTCCTCAGTCAACCATGTCTCTGTTAGGACAATGATGTGTGGCTTCTGTTCAGAGACAAGTAATCTGAGTTCATCTAGCTTGTTGAGAAGACTCTGACAGTTAGTGTAATAGATTTTTAGACAACGGCCACTGGTTCGAGCAGCCTCAGGAGCTGGCACGTTTGCATCGGTTAGGCTGTCAGAATGACGGCCTTCGGCCAGAGAAATGTCCGTTTGACCTGAATTATTTGTCCATTCATGATTTGTAGGTGTGTTTCGACGCTGCTTCTCCGCTTTTCCAGCTCCGTCATCAGCTCTCTCATTTTCATTCTCTCTTTTGGCTCGTAATCCGGCTGAAAAAAAACTTCAGGATGCTGACCCCGTAGAGATGATTTTCTCTGTAAAAGGAACTGGGCCTGTGCTGCAGTCTCCAAAATGACTTTTAGGGGTCGAGGCCGTGAATTTGAACCGGATGCTGACTGACGCTTCCCTATTCGGAATGCTTTGAGAACACTTAGTGACTCAACGTCTCTTAACAAAGCTTTCGCATACACTTGAAGAAGGTCTAAGTCATGTTTAACTCTCTCCTTTGGAATTGTTGCCGTTGATTCGGGTACTCCTTTTATAACTACATTTTGCTTGGGACTGAACCTAGTGCTCGTTGTTGTCACATATCTTTTGAGTGACTGAGCGTTCTTCTCCAGTACAGTGCAGTAGATATCCTTCTTCAAATGCCTCGGAGTGCATATACTGGATGACTTTGTAAAACCCATATTTTACACGCTCGATGGAATTGAAATTAATCTGCACGTGAAAATTGAAGGCCGAAAGCTTATGGACGATCTATGCTGGTTGAAATTTATGGGGTTATAATGACTTCGTAGACCATTAACTGAGTTTCTGCTAATATGTAGAGGTGACTGTCGTCTAAAATACCAATGACAGTGACAGATTATCGGGCCTGGAGTCTGTTTTCTCAAAGCGACTCAAAGGGTCGCTTGAAAATTTCGTCCAGCGCGTCCAGGAAGAAATTCGACCAAGAACTTCACAAGTGAGTCAGCTTCAACATTTTTGAACCTACTCTTGTCCTATGGAAAAAACCCTGACTTTCCTCACCGAACCGGTTCATATCCTCGCAGTCACCTCTAACGGGATAAATAATCACCAGAATGTATTTTTTCTTATTTCTTACGCAAATTTTTCAAATTTAGCTATTGTATTAATAACTCCCCATCTTTAACGCAGTCGCCACTTGGACGTTTAAATGATACGTACAATACTGGGTTTGGAAGGCTAGAAATTGATAACGAAGATAATCTGGAAGGAATAGGCAAACCATTTGGATTGTGTTGAGCAAAAGATGCGTATGTGCTGTTTAACGTGCCGATTTCGGCATTCCCCGGATTGTCCTTAAAACCAGTGTCCACTCGATATGGGTAAGGCGGATAAAACCGATGTCTAATCGGTATACGTATCTCCAAAAGTAGATATTTGCTAGATATCACTTCGATTGAATTCGCTACCAGGGTGTTTGTAGAATTTGCAGTGCCTAGGCTGGATCCCAGGTACATGCGATTTCCTACTTCAGATACAATAATATTCAATATCCAACGAATTTGATTGCAAGTTTAAAGACGAACGAAAAATTGCGAACGCTAAATTTTGTCTGAGGTGGAGTAGAGCGCACGAAATCAATTCTGTAGGCTTGTGATGGGTAACGATGTGAAGTCCAGGTTGGACAATGCCAACAGGACTGGATCACTTCAGTTCAGTGGTCTAAAATTAACAAAAGTATGCCTGTTGTTGTAGATCATTACGTGCAGGTGCCTGACGAAGTTAGAAAGGTCCCTAATTTACGCATCGTGGATCTCTCTTTGAACAAAATTCGGACTGTTGATGCTTGGATCGGCCTGCTAAAACACGTAAAACTTCTTAATCTGAGTGACAATCGATTGAGTACGTGCCCTCCCTTTTTATTGTGATACTAACGGACATCACGTATACTAATTTCCCAATATCGCTAAATAATTGACGGGGCCACCGTATGCAGACCATCCGTAGCCTCCTTGAATGTTCGTTTAACAAGATAAAACAGTGTGGGGCGTTGTATGTATATCTAAAAATCTCATACCGGTTACGGTCAGTGACAGCAAAGAAAACCACTAACAGGAGCTTGGTGTATGTTTAAATTGGAAATAACAGTCAAGAAATTCTTATGAAGTGTGAGTTTCTATTATGTACAACAGTATAGAAAAAGTGAAGGAAGAGGACACCCAGTTGGCAACAAACACATTAGAATCGCACGTAGCGTGTCGGAGGTAACGGACGCCCGACCCGCTGGCGTCAGGTGTTATTTTAGCTGTTAATCACATCCTATGCATGGAAGTCACCTGCAAATTCTGGGCTCCATCTCTAAGGAAGAACAGTATTCGATCAGTGAAATAGTCGCTATTAATCTGGGCCTTCGGACCTGTTCAGAAGGCAGCAATCAGAAAATGGACCAACACTAACAGACGTGGTCTTTCGCAGTTCCGTCAGAGCGATTTTGGATGGATGCGGCACCGCTCCACTTGGTAACCTACGCACAGCGCGTAATACGCGAGTTTTCGTCGGTTTATTGGGTTTTTGTCAGAAAATCAGGCCTCCAGTAGGAATCGCCCTGTCCTGCTTTCGGCCCGCATTTTCATCTGCATGCTCATGAGATTGAATACGTGGCCATCTGCAGGGTGTGGACACCAAACTGGGACAGCAGGTCGCTCCTCCGTACCGTACTGTTCATGCGTTTTTCGTTGTTAAGTCTTATGTGTCAAACAGCAGAGACAGTAGTGGTATTAAATACGATAGACTACACCTCATCCGCATTCGGTTGGTCCATCACCGGAACGACTTGCGCGCAGTAGCCTTCGAATGATTGTGGATTGCTGCAAAGTGTGGTTCCAGTGAATCTGCCAAACATTTTTCCCCTGGTCATTGCTCTTATTCCCAGTGGAAAGCAGGGTAGGTCAAACTTGGAATACCTTCTTTCCGAGTCAGGGTAGATTTTTGTGATAAGGGTCTCCAATTTGGTTTGCGTCTTCTAAGTGGAAGGGAGCCAGCGGGTCCTTGCTCACTATTACCTCCATAATGCGTTTAAATTGGCCTTTGTTGACGTCGCTATCAAGTGAACTGCATATTCTACCCTCCACTGTCGATATAGCGTGTCCAGCAAGAACTCATGAGGTGCCGAACTCTCGTACTGTGTCAGATTAAATGCGGACTTCTTGTTTCGTTCATCACGACGACTTTCGGCGTGTTCTGTCCACAAACTCGGGTTAAATGGATTCCATGGGGGGTGGGAGTGGGGGGAGGTAAATGACAGAATAATATCTTATGCATTCGACCAACGCTTTAAATCCAACCCAATCTTTAGAGCACATTTTGTTGCCTTTATTTCAGCCTGCTGCGTCTCCTGTCGCCTTTACTGTAAATTGGGGGTCTGGAGTATGTGGCCATTTCCGTCAACCTAAGTGTTTATGCCTATCTAGTAATCAAGCTTATTCAGCGCACTGTAAAATACCCTCACTTTCCAGGTTATTTGCCCGTCGAGGTGACCCAACTGACGAAGCTGGAAACACTATTGGTGTCAAAGAACATGTTAAAGACCCTGGCACCGCCGTCATCGCTTGCTAACTTCTCTGCGCTTACCAACCTGCGCACCGTTGATTTCTCCTGCAACTGCCTCACCGATTTTCCCGTGGAGTTGTGTACCTCATCCGTCCCCCTCGATCATCTCAACCTGTCGAACAACCAAATTAGTGTCATACCCACTTGCGTGGAAGCACTTCAGGTTGAACTCCTTTCTCTGAATGGGCTAGTTATTACCATGTTGCTTAGTTAACCGCATTTGGGGCTTCCGAACCCACGACAATTGTCATCATCGTTATTATTATTTTTATTGTTATTATTATTCACAGCGCTCATACACAGACCTCCAGTGCTTGGTGAATGGTACTCACCAAGTCTCCAAATGAGCAGACGTTATGAGGCGGGCTAACCTTTGGGAATTTTTTATATGCTCTGTTTATTCTCCTCTTAGCACAGATGGTCCGCTTCGTACTAGTGCGAGCTTCTCTATCCTTCACAACATGTGCGCCTTCGTTTATAATATTTTCTTGAAATTTGTATCAGTTGTTACTGGTGCTTTAGAGTAAGCAGTGTGGTTAACGACTATACTCGTAGCAATTGTAAATTTACACACTATCCACAAAAGCTGAAGAATCTCAGTATCTGGTGTCGTGTCCATGTCCGGCTTAACCACATCACCGTCAGGGATGGGTTCGCCTCCGGTCGCAGACCACTCGATTAATACTTTAGGAGGACTCCCACTGGTTCTGGCTAAATGAATGTCATTGTCTTCTTACGTACTGGTTTATTTTCATATTTTTGACGACTTTCGAAACACTTTGAACTGCAACTATGCTGGTACCAAGCCTATGGTGAAGCTGTTCTTTGCAATAAACGGCGCGCTCTCCGCAACCGTTTTCCCCAACTTTATTGCCGCAATTTAGACTGGCTGTATGATAACTTGTAATATCAATCAGCGGACTCATTTTCATGAATAATCTGATTTTGTTTTGTGTCTATCGGTGAACAAAGACACCCTACGCACCGAACATGGGAAAATCCCTAAAGGTGTGTGTAAGCAGAAATAATAACTTAGGTGGGACCTCAGTGCTCATAGCTCTCAAGACAGTTGGTATGCCGGCTTTCCATTAAGAGTGCTCTCATCGCTGCTTAGTTCGCGCCTCCTCTCCCTGTATCCTGAATGCTTGTGTGGTCGGTTATTGTTAATGTTTTCAGCGCGTGAACCGCCGAGCCAAATTTGATTTCAAATCATTCTGCATTTGCTGCTTACACAAATCAGTGATTTTATTCTACAGGTTCATTCATTCTCATACTTTTGTGCATGCTCTATCTAGATAACTTTCAACCTAGGAGTACTAACATGTTTTATAGGCACATAGGTCCTGACAATTAAGTAATAGCGTATTTTAGGGTAACAGGCAATGCCTTTGATGACCCTATTGAAAACGGTACATAAAATATAAATGTTAAATGTACATCTTACTAAAATTTTGTCAGCAACATATTTGTTGCTTGTGTTATTAGTAAGAGTTCCTTGGACTTGGTGGTGTAGCTGGTCAGTCCCTCAATGCGAAATTGCTTTGACCGCAAACTGGCTGTTGCGCTGGCGTTGCTCACACTTTAACGAACAGCGTGAAAGCTATGCTGAGGAATACCAGCACCGATCAACTCATCCTACCTGCCAGCCTCCAATCTCGGTTGTGTTGGTTGAAATCCTGGTTATTTGTTGTGTGGACCGGGGAGTGTGGTGGAACGCCAAGGTGAGGATCCGTCCGAGCCATCCACCTGCGGCCTCCCTCGTCTCCGGTCTTCTTGACTCTGTCTTGACACCGGGCTCGGGCGAGGGAGGAGGAGAGAGTGTAGGTAGATGCTACGGAAGTCTACCGGCACTATAAACCCCTGCGTAAGTCACCGTCCCTGCTCCCATTGCTGCTGCAGCTGTGGGGTCGCCCGGTGGACATAATCGAAATCGATGGTCGAACTGTCACAAGCAAATTAACGGACAGGGACCCCTTCAGCTAATCTATGAGCCCTACGTTGAACAGAACTTCCCGACTTGTGCTGCTAGTGTACACTGCGTCTTCTCCTTTGGAACGTCAAGCGACTCAAATACAGGGTAGAACCAGTTCTCTATCCACTCATATCGACAAACAGGCTCGTCCACAAGGGACGGATATCTGACCGGAAATTCAGCTTGGTCCTCAGGTCTGAAGAATCATCAGCGCCGACGAACGGACTGCCGTTTGGAATTCTACAACGTCGTGCTGTGGCGACCACGAGCCGTCACTGCATAGTCCTCTTCCACTCAGGACGTTGATATCGGTGAAAAATATTATAATGTCTAGAAATCATTAAACTGTGCTGCAACCGTGCCAGGATCCATTTCTTTGCAGTCACTGGCTTCACCTTGCCTCCTTCCTACCTTATGCACTGTTTAGGCAATTGAATTGAACCTGAACGAAAATAAAGTGGACACGATTGCCGAGTCGATCGCCCGTTGCCCGCGCCTCAAAGTCCTTCGACTGGCACACAATGCAATAACCCTTCAGGCCTTCCCAATGAGCATCCTCGAGAATTCGACGGTCTCCCTCCTCGCCCTTGAAGGCAACCCCCTGCAGATGAAAACGCTCCAGGAGCTCCCTGCATATGCTAAGGTAGACACTTGCCTCATGCGCTTGGCTAGAAGAGATTTTTGTTGATGGTAGGTGGCGCTCACCGATCGTTCTTGCGGAACTCACTCGTTCCGTTGTGTCTTACGGGCTCTCACTTGAGCCCAACCAGCAGCCACACAGCGGCGCATGATATAGGTAGTATGTTATTACTTACAAAGACAAGTCCCGTAAGAACGATCGGTTAGCGCCCCCTGCCATTGTATATTCCCTATAGAGAACCGACAGGGCAACGGGCTCGTGGCCCACTGGTTAGAGGCGTTGAACTCATAACTAACAGGTCGCGAGTTCAAGCTTCGGGTGTTCCACACTTCGAGGCTGGGTATGACTGGCTGACGACAACTAGTAAGCCATAAATGGCCATTCCAATCTCCCTTGTCTTTGTCGGTAATAACAAACTTCAGCTGTGTATTGTCCATAAAAATAGTGATGGCGTCCTTCCAGAAAATGCCGAAAATGCTTCACGGCCAAGTAGGTGGTGAGCAGTTAAAGGCCAACGGTACTATATAGTGTTTCAGTCGCTGAGAGTTTCTTGGAGAATAAAACCGATGGTCGGGTCGGACCGGTAAGGTGTTGCTGAAGAACCGCGCCAAACAGCTGCTGTAGATATAGGCAAAGATGGCCATTCCAATCTCCCTTGTCTTTGTTGGTAATAACGTTCTTGTTGATTTTATTCACCCTAGCAACGCTGATAAATAGGCTTGCACTGGTGTAGTTTTACTGGCGAAGGGAAAGCTGGCTGCCATCTGCAGCATCGAAAGTTGGCACTTACTGACATTTTTGTCATCAGAATCCCCGAGGTATTTTGCAAATGGATATAGTTTTCTCATTTGTCGGTGGTAGACACTCCAAGGTGAAGTGTCGTAGAAAACCACGGTCACAGGGACGACAACGCTTGCTTGACATTATGGTTATAGGTCACGCGGTTGTGCAGTGGGCGGGGTTTCGGGCCAGAAAAACAAACAGTGGCGGACCATGTAGCAGGAGTTCCTTGTGGCATAGATGGACACCCATCTTGATGACCACCACGTTCAGTCAAATGTCCAAACGGCTAAAAGTGCTCCACTTGGGCCTCGAGTAAGGCTTTACCAGTCCCGTCCGTCGCCTTCGCTTAATTTTCTCAAATGCATGACTTCCAGCGCCCCACCTGAAAATGCTTATCGTAGTCACTACTTCGCCCTGCCGAGACTTAGAAAGCTCTCTTGAATGAGTCCCATCCCAACCTCGGTCTGGCTGATGTCCAGGTCTTCAGACGCTCGTAGCCTTGGGCATAATTCTTGTTTGAACTGCATTCTCCTCCGTTGGGGGCAAGGCTTTTATTTTTTTAACTTAAAAACATTCAGTGATCGTCTCGAGTAAAGTTTTTGAGGCGGAGCCTCTTTCACAAGATGAAAAGTCGCCTGATTCAATTTCCGACTAGGTCTTACGAAAATCCACTTAATTATCCATACAACTCATACCTATTGTTCCGATGTTTATCTATATCAAAATCCCCAAGAATTATTTTCTCGGAGAACCTTGTCTCGTCAGAAAGTGCGCGGCAGATATATACGGTCGGAATTTCGTTTTTAGTACATGGAACGCTACACAGCAACTAAGCGGAAGGCCGTGCTCTAACAGGATTCCAGCTTCGCCACCCTCAATCTGATGACTTTTTTTTCTTATCGCCCGAATCATGGAATTATCTCGTTTTGCCATCATACTTCTTCGTTTACTTATTTCGGATGTGTATATTTATGCAAATTAAGGAATAAAAATATATACAAACGACGATGAGTGCTATTGTTTCGGGAATTTTTTCTATTCCGCACTTCTCACAGTTAGTCGGAAGAACAAAAGCGGAAACGGATAGACAAGTAAATGACCAGGTCGTTTGACTGAGACGAATGCTTACTAAACGTTGTTACGGTTAGATGAATAGCCTGTTTACATGAACAATGGCGCTGTAAGATCAGGCACTTATAACTGCACTGCGAAAACTGTTCGGGATCGCTGACCGCGTCAGCCCTACCCAAAGTGGTTGGATGGAAAGTACGTCGACTATCCTACCGGTAAATGAGAGAAAACAGACTTGACGCAGACAACCGTTATAGGTGTCCCAGAATCTCTGGTTCAGGCATCCCTTTTTGTCGTTCGTCTCCTGGCTGATGGAGTTTGCATGCATTCATTTAAGGCCTCCGGTGGTGTGTGAGACTTCTGCATCATCCGCTTTTATGACAATTACCTTGGTGGCAAGGTTTTAAGACGTCCGGAGATGGGCGTAGACGCCGTCACTCCTCGCACAAGCGTTGATTTCTCACTGCACAAACTGGGCTTTAGTCACTCAGATGGATGTCAGGAAGTTACTTTAAGGAGAAAGCAATGTCACATGCCACAGCCGCTGATTGTATGACTCAAGAGTCACGACTTTTAGCGTGAGAATTACTAATAGAGAAGGAGCGTAAGTGAGCTTACACGACGGTACTGTCAAGGAAGGAGGGAGCGGGTTGCTGGCGTGGACTTTGTGGAGAACACGGCACCAAACAAAACTGATCTAAGTCTCGAACTTGCGCCCAAAGTGGCTATGCGCAGAATTCGGACGTCAGTTCGTGACGTAGTCTACTGCGTTTACCAAATCCCGTTGGCTTGCCGTGTGCGAATGACATCGAGGACTTTTGTTCCCGTTCCTGTGGGGGACCGCCATTCAGACCAACCGTAAGGATGATATCCCAGGATTTCTTATCGACTCCGAGGCAGTTAGATAGCCTTCGTGGTATTTTGTGGCATTGCTTCTATTCTGCTTATAAATGAACAGCTTTCACAGTCACCTTAAGAGAGTAACTTCGGTGGGGTCGCGTATCAATGTAGGACCTTCTTCAGTTTGCTACAGCCACTACGGACTCATGGGTCGAGGCTTGGTCGGAAGACACGACCGATGCGATTATTCATCTTATTCCAGGAAGGCCTGCGGGTAACCGATGGGCGGTTCCGATGCGGACTCCGACACTGAGGGGTTTACGTGTCACGAGGCCCCGGTCGGGACCGCAGTTTGGGTCAGCTAAGGAAACTGCTATCTTGTATTTCACATTAGGACTGTACTGGTCACATTTTCGACCTCTCGAGAAAACAGTGGGCACTGGCAACTGCCCGATCAACTAAACGCCAAAGGGGCAGTCAATAGCTCCCGACTAGTGCACCGGAGACTCGCGAATTGGCGCCCTTATTTTTCCTGTGCTAATATAAATCGTAAGGAACAGCCGAAAGCAGATGATTACAGACCTATCCCATACTTGATCTATTTTACTAGAGAAAGTGCTAAACAAGCCAAAGTGGATTCCTGGTCGAATATTTTGTAAAGGAATACTGCCATGGATGCGGGTAAAATAACACTAGCACTTAATGGAGGACCAGGGATAATGTGCGTATGATACAGCTTACTAGGTAGGCACTCGACATTCTTTCGACGCGAGTCAACTTTACGATACCAGTGAGAGGGATAATGCCTCGACTACAGACATCACGAGAGCAACTCCAGCTGCGTTCCCGCCCACCAAGGGGTGCTTAGGTACGGAGAACTGGGCAACGATTAATGTAGACCGCCTGTTATAACTTCATAACTAAGGAGTACATTGGTAGACAAGGGGAAGCCAACTGGGTGAACAATTCATTCAAGAAATTAATTACATTTTCTGTTGCTTAAGACTTATTAGATCTCGAAGGCCTTGCTGGGATTCCTGCAGACCCTTATTCACGTAGTCCAATTTAGCCTACAGTTCAGGTTGTTAGAAAAGTACAGACAAACCTGCAACGATTCAACATTACGCTGGCACTCCTTGCGCTGGTCGGTCAACTCGGAGATGATTTCCGAGACGCTCTTCTGTATAAACCTAAAAATGGGTTAGACACAAACTAAATTCCTACATTCGCCCCACAGAGCTGTACGTGTTCGTTCCATCTGGGAGTTCCTTGACCTGTTCTGTTACCAACTCAGATCGGCGAATTTGGGTATTGAGTGCGTTTATCTGGGCATTGAGAAAGCCTATTTGTTGATTAGATTGAGCCGTTTTATTCTTAAGTTCTATTACAGCCTAAAAGTAATGCGACAAACAATCCAGTACCTTCTGGATCTCTGGATCCATGCCCTTTTCCGACATCCTAGATGGCGCGAGATGCTAACGCCAAAGAACCACTACAGCCGCTTTAACGAAACCAGACGTCCTTGAATCCCTTAGAGCTCACGGCTATTGGGGGTGGGAGATTCCAAGCCTCCAATTCAGGATTTTAGTCCATGGAATCCGGAATAATTACGGCACCTATCTCAAGATATTTGCACAGTAGTACGCATGACTGAAGCATCGGGACACTTATCACTAAATGTTGATGAGTGATGGCGGAAGATGTACACGACAATCAACGAGCTTTTGATATCTTTCGATTTCCTGCACAACCACCTAACAAAGTCTGCGAAAGGATTCCAAATAAAGATGTGGAATGAGGAGATGGGAGTGGGTGACAAGCAGACGGGCAACTCTTACTGATGAAAGTGTGAAATGCGCAAACACTTAAGTCAGATAAGGTGAAATCTGCAAAACGGAAGTTTTGTAATTGGGAAAGCGGTCAGAGATGAAAAATAGTGTAGCAGGCAGCAAAACCATTCACAATCTAAGGGAAACTATAGAGTCGTATCATCTGTGATCGCATAATCATCCCACCAAAACTAGGACGAAAGCTTGGTTTTCGATCACTTTTTACAAAATAGATAACAAATTTTGTTAAAGACCCATCGGGCTCCCTTCACAGCGAGTAAAAATAAATCATCACATGAACTTTATACTAGTTAGGTAGAATCTGCACCATATGCAATACATAGTTTTTGAATATGTAGTCCGTTAAGAAAAATGATGAGTGGACAGTGAAAAAACTCCATCCTAGAAGAAACAAAATGATTGAATTAATTATAAAGGCGAAAAAACTGTTGCTCATGAAAGGATAAAATGCGGGCATGTTGTAACCTGCATGTGAAAGTGTATAATGGATAATAAACGGACGTCGTCAGGGCAGAAATAAATGTCAGCCTCGAGGGGTACGTATGCGGGTCGGACAGGACTGGCCTGCATGTCGTACTGTATACCGGACTCAGAATGGACATCGTCAGGGCAGAATTAGTGTGTCAGATGAGACTATTCGCGTCAAAGAGGCCAGACGACAGGAACCCAGACGCGATCGGTCACAGCCCGTTTCGAATCCAGCCAAGGAGGGGCAATGATGATACGACCAAGCTACTAGTACGGTGAATACTGAGGCTTCCGCCGTGAGCGTCGACAGGCAGCTTGAGGTCGAAATGAAGAGATGACATCAAGAACTGCGAAAGTCTTAGCCATGGGGGAGGAATGACAGCAGTGGCTTTAGTAGCCTATTCCAAACGGGGGGTTGCAAAAATGTAAATGAAGGTTTACACTTGATCTACCACTAAATCCCAGAAGGACCCTTTTCAATTCATTTCAATTAAATTATTTTCAATCTCGAAAATTCTCGAAGTCAAGAAGCTGAGTGTTAGGGAATGAGACCGCCTACAGTGCCCTTATGCTTTCCGGTGCAAGGTGTTTGCGTAATTTTGACTTGAGTTACAGTAGCTTAGGCGATGACCTAATTGCTGGCGGGAGATTGTTCCCAAGGAAGGCATATTTGGAAGCGCTTAGATGTAGTGCAAAGAGGCGGTGGAATCACCGTGGAGGAGTTGCGCGTGGTATAAGACCGATCTCTCGATGTGAGAGAGAAAACAGTTTCCGGGTGAAAACTCCCTGAACATTTTCGAATTTACAGCGGTCACGGGCGTTAATTAAACCAAAGAAAGGACGACGGTATTCGATGAAGAACAAGCATTTGATAAAGTCTTAGCTTCATTTCCGGAAGAAAAAAATTTTGCGATATGAATCCACATATCTGCGCAGCTTTGGCAGAGATTCTATCCGCATGAGGTGCTAAAGCAAGTTTATTTGTATAACTTAGACCTAGGTCCTTTATGGTTAAGCATTCTGAGAGTGGAATATTCGGAAAAATTATGGGACTAGGAAGTTTGGCAGGACCAAAAGACATGGAACTACACTTAGACGATCAAAACTCTATTTGCCTAAGCGTAGTAAACCGGCATAAATTTTTTCAACACAAACATTTGCTGTATCCTTAGAATATGAGTAAGCGCACTTGAGGTCATCGGTATGAATAAAAGTTTGCAAATTTCCGAGTTCAGTCGAAAAATCTTTAATGTAGATGAGGAGAAATGGGAGCGGACACAGAAACGTGCTTTGAAGTACTCCACCCGTGATCGAGTAGGCGTCGAGTAGGTATTGCCAACCATGAATTACTGATATCGGTTGGATAGATAGAACCCGATGAAGTCGATTCGAGGCGGCCGGATGCCAAGATGTTCCGATATTGCCAAAAGTCTTCTGTGCAGCGCCTCCTCCAATGCTTTGTTAAGATCATAGTATATAACTACCTCTGACTGGGCGTTATTTATTTTGGTTTTAGTAAAGCCTCTTATAAACTGCTACGCGGACGACTGCTAGTGAAAACGGATTTTTGGTAATGCCAGATCCCCTAGTTTGCTTTCTAAAGTCGTGTCTATCTTGTTAGAAACAAAATATCGTATTGGGATCCCCAGTTCCGACTAAAAGTCATACCATAGCGATGTCCTCCACGGTACCGCCTTCCGTTTTCTTTTGTTTCCTGCCTCTTGTTAATGATATTTCCTCGAAAATTAAGCAGGTAAGTGTAGCATTTTACGAGTCTTCGGAATCCGGCCTTCGAACCGCCGTGTTGGCCGTCTGAATAGAATGCCATCGCAACATACAAAGGCTCATAAGTGCATGGGTTTTTGAGTCACGAAAATGCCAAGACGTCGCCCTCACTTACTAATTCCATTTCTCGGTCCCAGCCACTGCATGAGCCGGTCAGCTGTCTGGTGAGTGAAATGGACGCAGTGGCTGACATGTCTGGCGATCCGTCTGTTGATGTCCCATACAGGAACTGCACCCCCCCTCCCAAACTAAGCACCGAAACTTCACACAAAAATGGAAAGGCGGCGTGGATCTCACATGCGTGAGGGTGCCAGAGGCCACGTCAGGAAGCGGCCATTACAGCCTGACTCTCAGCCTGCCAGTCGGCCGCCCGCATAAACACACACTGGGCCGACTGGGAGGTCTGAGTTCTATCGTCATTTGACAGCATTTCATGTCACGGTAATTAACGCACAGTTACAGGCCCAGCCTCTGATCACGCATACAGCGTCGGGACACGCGGATGAGGAGTCAGGAAGTACACTTCCCACTTACGTGAGAGGTGCCAATTAGGTTCTTACGTTGTGCGATGTTGGTGTGGTTATGTGGGGTGTAGGTGCTGGTAAGGAGGGAGGTGGTGATATGTTTTAGCCGGCGGTGTTCTACCACAAGTTTACACGCAGGCGCATGTGGCCTGATATGCCCATACGATGGCTGAATGTGCGAGCGCAGTGCCGACAATTGGAGTAATGACGTCTGATGTAGGTTAATGATTCAAGCACTGGTTCGCCAGCCTAAGCACGATATATTTGCAGGTGACCGACCAGGCTGATGTGTGAGGTAAGCGTGCGGCGACATTTTGGACAGGATGTGTCGGGATGTCCGGTTTGTTGTCAGTGTGGTGTCGCTACTGGTGGGCACACTGGTCGATTGGAAGTTGATTTGACTGGGGATGGAAGATGATTGATTTGCAAAGTACGTTAGGTGCATCGCTAATGCAGCGAATTCTGCTGCTGTGGATACGCATGCCACCGAATAGGCCCATGTGTTGAATAAATGTGCGCAGACAGCGGGGACATCGAAGGTGAATGCGGAGAATATACGTCGGAGCTTCTGTCACTAGTGTGCTAATCGCAGTGTAATGGATTCGCAAACGACTGACCAGACCGATGCGTGAAGTGAATATCTGTTCACAACCGGGACAGGCTAGGAGGGTGGCTCTGAGGCATTTTTCAAAGTCTTAACCCAGATAACTAAGAAAAGGAAAGGAAAGTAAGTAGACAATCCACTTTTTCTAAAGGTGAACGAACAATTTTATAGCATTAACAAAGGCAGTTGTATTGTCAAACGTCATGAGAATGCACTGTTAATGTAGAGTTGAAATTGACACAAACAGTGAAAATACCTACAGCTATGCCGACGTAGACTTCTGAATGGCTCACCATTAGTACAATAGAGTTAGAAAACGGAGTTATACAAAGTAGGAGAAGATACAGACATCCGCCAAATTTTTGGCATTTAGTATGCAATACAGATTCGAGCATTAATAGTCTTTGTAGATAAAAGAGGAAGTGGAAATAACTCCTAAAGGGAGATTTCAAGGAACCCGCGATTTTCTGGAGAAAAAACTGCCACACAAAGAGATGTGAAGATATTGCAAGTTCAGTGTGGTGGTAGAATACTATTTCAGCAGGTAGTTGATTTGAACATGGACCGTCATTGAAGCAGTTGACTTATAATATACTATAGAAGTTCAAGAGACAAGGCAACCACACAATTTATCGTGTGCATTGTGGGTTATGAACCTGGGTGACTTTGCCAAATTTCAGCTGGGGCAGAGCGGTTAGCGAGCCAAAGTCGTCAAATATGTGCGCACCGGGAAGTTGGAATTGAATAGAATGGAAGAAGTTTATTATAACACCTCTTGAGCACTGTTAATCACTTCTGAAGTCGTGTGGCCTGTTGTACACTTAGCGAGCTGCCTATGTATTATATGTGGTATGTGTCCTATGGCACAGCGTTCGTTGTCGTCAGTAGCAAACTGATGGGCGGACATGATGGAATCGAGTGAGATCCTAACCACAACAGTGAGGGTCAAACGTCGGCTTCAGTACTGCACTAACTGTTTAATTGAGCTGCCGTGGGAGTGCTGCCACTAAGGGAAAGCTATTCTTATATATTTTTTCGAGGGTTCCATCTCAAAGTCATGAAGAAATCTGATCTAAAGGAATGCGGACAATAGAAAAATCCATCGAGTCATTTATAAGATTTAAGTGCGACCCTCTCTTAAAAAAATATAGACAATTTGTTGACCGTATATAGTTTGGCAGGTTATTACAAGAGAATGTATACTTAGAAGCAAATAAAAGAGGGCA